AACCTTTTCAGTTCTCTGCAGCAGAGATTCCAGAATTTAATTTTCAAAGTGTTTGAGAGAAGGGTTTTTTTCAGTATTCTGCCACTTAGAAGTTAAATAAGACATAACACAATACATGTAGAAAGAGAAATAAGAGCCTGGTATCTATGGGAGGGCAGTCTCTCTCATCTGGACCTTCCTGACTTATTCCTGACACAGCCTGTGCCCAGTGGGTTGTGCAGCTGGAGCAGGACAAGTAGAAGTTCTGTGGGAGCTGCCAGGGTCAGAGAGCAGAGACAGCCCTGGGTCCTGCGAGACCACAGGGAACAGGGTCTTGTGAAGACGGTGGCCTTGGTGGGCACCATGCAGTGGATTGTGCAGAGACATCCAAGCCCAGTGTGCAAGAGGAAGGCTGAGGGGACACCAAACTTTGTGTGGCCACAAAGGGTCTACAAAATGAGAAAGGTGAGGAAGGAGAACATTTTCTGTAGTTGATCAGAATAAACAAGGGGGAAAAAGGTCATGCAAGAATCCTTGCAGGGGCAAATCTCTGCTTACTTCATGAGCCTCCAGATTTCTCATGTTTTGCTCCTTTAGCAGCCAAAATTAAACCCAACCCTACAAAACAGCAAGAGAACAGAAATGCTCAGTGTCTGGGGATTGGGACAGCAGCAGTGCTGTGATCAAAAGATGGATGGTGGAGGAGAGCACAGGGAACAGCCAGGAGGGAAAAGGCAGGGAGAGCCCCAAGCAGCAGAGATGGCATTAAAAACACCCTGAATGAGCAAAAATAAGTCTCCAAACTGCATCAAGATCTTCCTCCTCTCATGATACCAAGTGAAAATTGTGATTTAAATAGCGTGGAGATGCCATGCAAAGCTAAAGAGAGAAGGGGAAAGGAGTTACCATTTGGTGGTTTTCTTTTATTTTGTGGTTCATTTCTCAAAAGCTGCTGCTTCCCCTTTTTTTTCTTTCCTAAAGAGAGAAACTTTAAAAGAAATTACAGAAGGCAATTAAAAATCTATAGTGCTCTGTATAAAACAAGCATGTGGGAGAGCTCTTAAAGGTAAAACATGAAATGTGTGCATCCTAAAATGTTGTGAGGTTCTGGTTTTTTTTTCCATGCTGTGCTTTGTTAACACATCCCTCACAGGGGTGCCCAGCTGCTGCAACAAGCTCGGTGGCAGGGACAGGGAACATGCAGCTAACAGGGAAAAGGGGAAATACCAGCCTATAATTTATTTTAACTGCTTCTGAAATGTCATACTTGAATAATACTGATGTGTACTAATGGAAGGCTGGGCATTGGAGAGGCTCTTCCAGTTGCGAATGTTGCAGAGACGCCCCCACGTTCTGCAAACACACGTGCACCAAGACAGACCCAAGTGCCATTTCTCTCCAGCACTCAGGCTACAGGTCCCTAGTTCCCTATTTCCCAAACTCTTGATCGGCATCCCAACTCATACCTGCATACAAAAGTAAGATACCTGTCAGATCCCTCAAAAACAGACATACACACATACAAAATAAATAAATCAGGCTTTTAGGTCTGCAAGCTCTGAAGGAAAAGGCAGAATCTGTTCTGTTTACCCCAGACAATTCAGCTGAGCTTCCCTGGGGCCTCACAGCCAGGCTAATGAGAAACTCCCTGGCAAGCCCCATGTAAAATGCTTTCATAGGTCTTTAAAATGCCTTAAATTCTCTATATATTTAGTAAGACTTTTTACTTCTTTAAAACATCCCTTGCTGCTCCTCAAGATAATACTCTCATGATGTATTACAACAGCAATGCAACATTGTAAAGCAAGGGTCCAGCCAGACAAAGACAGAATCTTATTTTTTTTCTTGGCTTTGAAGAAGCAGAAAACCCTTTTGCAAAACAGACCCAGGTGCCCTCCTGGCCCCCCAGCCCACCCTCTCCAACACTTCTGGAGTAAGATAGACAGGCTTCAAGGGCTGCACATGCTGTCAAGAGGGAGAAGCAGGGGAATGTGCACTTGGCTGCACTTTTCCATTGGGACAGAAAACATCTGTCTCCTACACAGCAAAATACTACTGACCTGCTATTTAACAGCAAGCTAAGACCTCAGATTCAGAGAGGAAAAGCTTTTCTTTTTACATTAAGGAAAAAATGTTTACAAGACCCAAAAAGGAAGGAAATTTGCTATATGGTCATTGTTCAGTGGGGCTAGTGGACGTCCAGACTATTTACCCTGGCAGAAGGGCAGCCTCTGCCTCCTTCTACCTTTTCCTGATTCTCTAAGTCAATTCATACAGCTTTTAATTTGTGGTTAGGAAAAAAAAAGTTGTAGAACTATTTGTAGTTCTATCTAAAGTATTTAAATAAATTCCTCAGTGCAACTCCACCAAGGGTTGGATTCTTGCAAAGCATTTCAGCTTTCCAGGTTTTATCTGGATTGAGCAGCTAAGCCTAAGCAGACAACAACTTGTGCACATATCCTACCATAGGAAAAGGATAGTGCTGTGGTCAGCTGTCACCAAACAGACCCATTTGAGCACAGGATTCTTGTTGCCAAGCTGTCCACTGCCAATCTCCAGGAGCTGCACCAAGAAACTCCCATGAGCAGACACCTCCCCCAGCACAGGGCATGGGCAGGGATGCACAATCCCAGTGCTTTCATCACAACTTCAGTAGCAGAGAAGCCAGCCCACCATTGGAGGCAGAGCTTGGACACCAACATTTGACATGCCTTGCCCTGCATCTACAAACAATTCTGCCTGACCCAGGGATAGACAGCTCTTAGAGCTACAAGAGCAACCCACCACTGCTGACTCAACTCATCCTCACAAAAAGAATTCCGGTATAGCTTCTATGGTTTGATGCATATAAGATATTGCAGCAAAAGCATCTCCTCTCCCCAAAGTTGCAATTATATAAAGACTTTGCTAGTATTAGGAAAAAAATTTTACAAAGGACACTACCTGTTCTTGCTGTCCCCACACACTGCCCCACCCCCCAGCAGCTGTGCAGTGCCAACAGAATTTTTCAGAAGTCACTTTGTGTTTGCACACACACAGAGATGTACAAACACACAGGAGAAGAAGGGAAAGAAATATGTTAATTTGAAACATCTGGCCAATGTTCCAGAGTTAACAAGTCCCGGGTTTGGCCTTTTGGTTTTTCTTCTGTTGTCATTTTGGGCCAGGGAAGGAAGGGGCATGAAACAAGAAGTTGAAGCATGTTTTTTCACCCTTTATTGAAGTTCAACATCACACTACTGGAGCTAATGCAAACAGGAAGATCATAAAAGAGCATAATGAAAGTCTCGTACACTGGGACTGAGGGACTGGTTTCAGTTACTGAATATAGCTTTGGAGGCACACCACACAAGAGCTAGTGACTCCATGCAGCCACACCATGTACTATGGCTTTTTGAGCTTTTCCTATGTAGTTCCTCTGCCATATTCCAGCCTGCAATCTCTGCTCCACACACCATGGCCTGTCTCCATAGGATCCTGTACTGCATCTTTATACATGTGCAAGATTGACCTCTGTAGCTACTAAATATATTGAGGGGAAAATACCCAATTAGCACACATTTTCCTTAGGTTGCCATAAATCACACATACATTTTATCCCACAACCGCCATCTTGAATAAGAGCTGTAATTATGGGAGTAAATGAAGAAAAATGGAGGAGACTCAACTGATTTTAGAAAAGCCTTTCACAGGCTTTTACTTACAGCACAGTCACCAACACCATCCAGAAACCCCAAATCAACTCCCAGTCTGTGCAGAGATGATTTTGGGCGTTTCTGATGTTGTTTTGAACCTCAGCCTGTGTTACATTTACTAAAATTGAAGATGTGTGATAGATAAGGCTGGTAACTCCACTGCTGCTTGAGAGGAAGGTCAAGCAAGAGCCGGCGAGTGCTCTTTTCATGCGCCGTTAGCTCCAGCACAAAGGGGCCTTCGACAGCACAGCTGGGGCTTTGCAGCAGTAGCAGCAATATTTGCTATCAAAGACTAGTGAAAATAAAAGCTGCTCCAAACAGCTGTAGCACCCAGAGAAGACACACCTAGCACAGCCAGGAGCGCAGCTGGTACAAAGTGAATGTCACCCAGTGCCACACAAAGGCAGTTGATGTCTCCAGGACTAGCTAGATGCTGACTTCAGTAAGAAGTCTCTGGTGAGTCAGTCTCCCTGTGACTTTTAAAAACCCCAGGCAAACCAGGAATGCAGCACAATTGTTAATTTTCATGTTACCGCTCAGTTTCTGAGCTGTTTAAACATCTGTGCTGATCTAAGAAAATACCATCATGCAGTCCAGTACAAAGAGAGCACAGAAAGAGACTTCCATAAATTCTGAAGATGTCACAGAGAATAAAATATCTTTACACAGGACAGTGACTGAAATGTGGCTAATTACTCGAAACACAAACTAATCTAACATGCACCCTTATGTTTGTTTCATCAATACATATTACACAACTACAGACAAACTTGCTTTATCCTGTTCAGTTTCTTGAGGCTCTTTTTATTCAAATTACCAATGTAACACAGATGAAAATAGTTTAAGTGCTATTACTATCAAGCAGACCAAAATCTGGTTAAAATGTTAAATCTTTCTACCATGGCGACCTACCACTTTTATTCTCCAGCCCTGACAGTACTTTCCAATTTCCTCTGAGAGGAGAAATACACACATTCCAGTTGAGACTGAAGTATAAAATTCCTATTAAAGCAGCTTTTATATAATTAGATTGGAATGAATGTGCAATAGTGCCCATTGCAGAAAACTTCAAAGTGGTTATACTGGAGAAATCACAACCCGTTTCAGTGTGCCCACAAGAAGAAAGAATGGCTCTCCAGAGGATAAGAGTATATTAGTCTCTGTATGTAATAGATTTTATTGACCATATGGAACTGATATAAAAATTGTGTTGCAGTGGGTAGTCTTGGATTCGAGACAGGAATGTGACATACAAAATACAGTTTCTGTAAAAAGCCTGGCAGCTTTCTGGCAGTTTTTGCAATCAGAAGAACCTAAAATATTTACCTGATTGAGTCACTGATGAGTCCCAGGTCAAACCAAAATCTGAAGATTCACCATCTTCGACTGAAAAAGAACAAAAATAAGTTGTGATTGCTAAACCAAACCAACTGGAAAGCAAAGCCATCAGGTCTGCTATGACATTAAGTATGAAAACAGACTTCTGCACTGGTGAAAAACAACTTACTACTTTCTATAAAATAATTCATAAGGTAGAAACTTAGATAATTTTCCCT